GATCCCAGCTAAAAGACAGGTTTAGTGCATCAAGCTGCTTTCTCATGTGTTGAATATTACTGCAGAAGAAAACAAAATCCATTTTAGTTAAGGGGAAACTAACAGCTCAAAGAATCACTGGCCCTCAGTGCTCCATTTGCCCCATTCGCTTCTGACTTGAGCTGCCCTTGCTTTGCCTTCACTGGCCCCTCCCATCTGCCACGCTGCTCTATCCATCATTCACATTGCATCAGTTATTTGCAAGACTGCTATACTTTCTGAACCCCAATCTGGACCAGTGTTCCCTCTAAGATGAATTAGTGTGAGCTAGCTCACCGTTTTTTAGCCTCCGGCTCACACGTTTTTGTCTATGCTCAGGAAGGAGGGCTCCAGAGAGCCAACTAATCTATGCAGTAGCCCGATCACTCGCTCACAACTTTAAGGCCAGTAGCTCACAAAGCAGAGATTTTGCTCACAAGAATTCACAGCTTAGAGGGGGCATCGATCTGGACTACAAAGTATCTCGGGTCACATAGCTTTGTCCCCGTGCCAGGCATACCATCTTTCATTTAAATCTTTCATTTCTAGTGTAATGATGGGAAAGATCTATAAATACATAAATACTTGGGTTGGTTCGCCAAGGGATAATATTTGCTGCATGGTACAATCCTAAACAGAATTATATTCTTCTAAAACCACTGACTTCAAGGGGTGAGAGTAGACCCGGCCTCCAGACAACAGGTCTATCAGGTCTAGCCAACAGGTCTACCAACAGAGTGGCCCTCTGGAGGCCAGGTCTACCGCCCTGAGCCCAAGTCTACCAGCTCGGGCCTCCCCTCTTAGAAGGATGTCTGTTTAGGACTGTCAGTGGGAATGTTCCATCTAGGAGAAAGCATACAGCAGTACATGCTGAAAACAGGGGAAATGTCCACAAACCTAGGTTTAAAGCAAGGCATGTTTGCAATAATGTAACAGTAAATAAATATGCAGTCCTCCATGGAATGAAAGGAAACTGAAATGGTGAAGGAGCAAGAAAGGGCAATCAAAGCACCATCTCTTGCCTCAGCACTGTTAACTGTGTTCAATAGCTAGAAAAATGAAACACCTCTGTGTCCAGTTTGCTGGATGCAATCCATGCTCGACTGCTGCATTCTCTGCAGGTAATCCAAACGCATCCCATCCCATTGGATTGATGACCTGTAGCACAATGATTTTTAAAGAAAATGTCATCCTTTGTCACTTTCCGGAATTGATTTAACTACAGCTTCAGGGCTCGAAATAATGAAGTGTCGTTCACAATTCAGCATTTTTTCACTCTTTCACTGAATTGTCCAAACTGCTACAATTTGGCTCCAAGCAATATGTAGGGAGGGGTTGGGGGG